AGCAAAGGCACTTTGCACCCAGGTTACACATTACATTTTTCCTACAGTTACTATAAATCATATAAATAATTAGTCTTTCAAACACTAAACAACATGTTTTAGGTTAGGTTAAATCCAAGTATTGAACGAAAATAGAATGTTAAAACAAAACAACAGGTTAAGTCATAGTATCAAAATTCAAAACGCTGTGAAACGCTGCACCAGCCGATTGTAGTCATAGTATCTTTAAATGTTGCTAACTTATTTCCAAGCGTACACGTATTACGTGCCTAATAAAAGCACACTGAATTGTGTTGCTTGGTTGGAATACTGAAGTGTGACAAAAGTAAGTAAATGCAGCATCAGTGCAAGGAAGCCTGCATTGTCAGGGATAAATATGTTTTTTTTTTTATATATTTAGAAGGCAAATTATTTAATTGGTTTAGAAACCCTAGAGCATTGAAAGAGCACAACACAAATTGCCTGATTATAAAGTTGAAAAATATGTAGTTTTGTATGATTCCTGATGATCCAAATGATTACAGTATTAATTTAAACAGTTATTTGTCTACCTATGCATGTCATTTTGTTATGTCTAAGACTTACAGTGCAATCTCTCTTAAATTTGATTAATTTAGAGGGCCTGCAATGCACATTTACAAATTTTATGCTCAAAACTTGTAGCATGCGGTTTTGAAACTATCTGCACTTATTTTTACTTGCTGTGAATACAGTTTACTACAATTGATTCAGCTTTATACATTCATGGGTTTTCGTAATCCTTAAAGCTATATGCTGAATTGGATTTTTAACTATTACATTATTGAATGCCTTATCTTCCCTTTATTAGTTCAGAACCCCCTCATTGCGCCTGGTGGACAAAATCAAATCTGATAACAGTTTTTCACAACTGACTAAAAGCTTTTGTTCTTGTAAAAAAAATTCTATCCGCCAACCTATTAAAAAAAAAATTTAAAAAACCTTAAACTTTGAAAGTAACTGTAGTATCTTGTCGCAGTGCTTTTCAGACACACTAGTGAGATGATTGGTCTTGACCCTACTGCAGTATTGCAGTGACTGATGTAGTTCGTCATTGATGGTTTGATATCTGATGGTGTTTGAGATAGTAGCTAGCAGATGACACAGATATCAACAAAGTTTAGAACTAACAATGTCCTCTTATTCTATACAAATGGTGCCTAGAAGGACTTTGATTGTTCAAAATGTCAAATGTTTGGTTCAGGATAACTTCAGTAATTTGTTATTTGTGAGTGTGTCCAGCATTGCATCTCTTCGGTCTCTTAGAGTAAGTGTATTTTGAACATTTGTTATGTCTTTGTCTCTATAGTAAGTTATGGTTTTAAAAACCAAGTAGCTTTTGTTGAAAAAATACTAAAATACCTGTTATTAGTAATAAATATTATTATTTATTCACATACTGATGTAATCAGAAAGACAGGGTTCATTTTACATGAAATATACCTTTACAATGTTTTAAAATGTACAGTATAAAATTCACAATACGTTGTGTCCTAAAGTCATGACAATCTTGTATGACTAATTTTAATGTAAACAATTGTTAACATGTAAATATGCTTCTCAGTGCAACTTTGTCTAAAAAGTAACTTAATTCAAGAATAATAGTTCCTGGTATTTTAAATATTATTGTATAAATTAATCTCAGCATGATGAAGCTTTTGTTGATATGTTGAATAGTTATTTAAATTGATTTTATTTAGTGTATTAAGATATCAATCAATCAATCAATTATTTAAGATGGGGATGCCACTATGTGCTTATTTTAACCCAAATATGAGTGAAGGATGAGTGTAGGATGAGTGGCGCGATCTTGTAGTCTTGTTAGTGACTAAGGCCGACATATTCCTTAGACACAGCTGTTAATTAATAGCCCAAACAGCTAATGGCAACTAACGGACCTACAGTTTAAAGTGGAATCCGAACCACATTCTTGCCTTGGTAACAAATTGGTCTAGTTATCAGGATAGTACTGCGGATAGTCGTAGTACTCACTAATACGGACGTTAATACACCCCAGGGAGTATCGCATCCACAGTGCATCTCTATAAATATCCGATAAATCAGTGGATAAACGATACCATAATTTAAAATGATAAAGACAATGGCTAGTTGGTTTAAGTTAGGTACCAAATTATATTTAAATTTAGAGTGCCAAATAAAATAATTGTTAATTGTATAGCCAGTAATAAAGGGGTAATTATGTTTGTACTGCTAGTATAATCATTTATTCATACATATTTGTAGTTGTTTTTCTTCTTGTGAATAAGTACCCGTAAATAAAAATAGCCTCATTAACCGTGTTCATATTCTAATTTTAGACAACCTTGCTACTAATTATGTATTCACAATATCATGGTCTAATGATTCAGAAATATGATAATACAAGCTAACATGTTTACTATAATTTGTTTTATGCAAGTTAAGTCATGATTTATTTTTACAACAAACGTTTACAATCGAACCAGCAAAGCTGGGTAAAGATGAAAATTTACAAAACAACTTAAAACAGGTTTACAAATGAATAATTACAAATTTCCATCCTACCAGTGTTGTCCATTGCCAGTGTTTAATAATAAACACTGGCAATTTATTATACAATATTTTACCCACTGGGGTAGGGGTTCAAAAATGTCTATCTGTGGATGGGCAGTTGAAAATTATTGCTATTTCTAGTTAAATAGTTATGATTACAATTGTAATTCATGAAAAAGTTAGATTTATTTTTACAAACATCAACGTTTGGAGAACATATAGGTAGGGTTAATATTTTTAATTTTTTGAATACTTTTCAATGAAATGGTGACCATACAATAATTAAAACATGATTGTCTGGTTTAGAAAACATCATAATTCTTAAACTATTTAATTGATCTTTAAAACATGTTTCACACTTGAGCTGTTGCCCTAAAACTCTATTCAATACTGTACATTATTAGTGACATACAAGGCATTACAAACAATGTACCTTGTTTTAAAGTCTGTAACATTTTGCAAGACAAAAATCTGAAAGCAAGGGTTTTCTTGCATAAAATTGCAGTATATTCATCCAACTCGGAACTATTTTGAACTTGAATACCTACAAATTTGGTCGTATTTATGTATCATCAATAACTTCCGAGTCTCAGTTGATATTTTGTTTGTTGTCCATCATGAGTAGATCTGAATCTTATAAATTGGGTTTGGGACCAATCTTATAAATTGGTCTTAAGCAGTTTACTTTAAACCATGAATTCAAATCTTCAAAAGCAAGATTAATTAAACTTTGTAATTCCATAGAAGCAAGCATTTAGTTTAATAATATTAGATAAAATGTCTCTTATAACTCTACTGCTTAGATGACTACTCTGTATTTCAATAATTTTTCCTTAACATTTAGTAGTAAATATATCTTAAACGTTTAATAAATAGTTTTTAAATGTTTTGTTCTATAATTAATGCAAGCTGTAATGTTAAAATTAGTTTAAAAGGTTCAAATACCTGCCATTAGGCAATCCAATGTTGTTGTAAACACGACTAGTTTTGGCCCCTGTATGGCACCATCATCAGGCTGTACAAGTACGGTTAATTAACAGGCTTAAAATTAGTTAATTAACAGTTGTATTGTTTGAAAACTGCTGTAATTAATGAATTGTTATACAAAAAAAATAAACTTTTTAGAAGGCTGAGGGCTGACAAGCACTGGCTAGAGGTAACAGAGTGTGAGCTAATAAGGGTGTTTTGTGTTTCAAGCTAGCATAAATCTCCTTCTTATGGCAATACTAACAAAACATAGATTTAAAACTTGACAACTATACCAAAATAATTATAAACTTAAAATATGTTATTTAGTTTTAAAATCTTGGCTTTCAGGAGGTGACCAGTTGCCCTAAAAGTAGATTGCTACAATGCATGCAGAATCTCAGGCAGTATTTTTGCCAGTTCAACGACGTTGTCAACAGTCTACTTAAATGGTGGAAGCCTTCCATCTACTTTTTGATATTTGGCTATTCATTCTGGAAAAAAAACTTAATCATGGACAGTTGTTACCATTTAACAATGATTTTTTTGAAATATTTTACTTAGCATCTTATTTTACTCATATTAGCGAATTTCCCTATAGGGAAGTAGCTATTACCGTAGGTGACACGGTAAAACCTAGACCCGGAACCGATATACTTTTTCATTTTGATGTCCCTAGAGGGAACACAATTCTTTCTGTCATATGCTTAAATAATCAGATGATTATTATTGTTTTTATTGTTATTGTTTACATTTTATCTTTTGTGTTAAATTAGTTCTAGTAAAAAGTTCACCAATTAATTCACGTGTATTTTGAATATTTTATGAAGACATAATATCACTTTCAAATTTATATATATATATATACATACGTCTGTGAACGCGATAACTTGAGTAATTTTTGTCCGATTTTGATTAAATTTGGCTTAAAGGTTTAGGGTGTGACAAACTTGAATGAGTTTGCTAACCAGCATGATAGGACTATGGGAACGGGGTGTTATGGGGGGTTTTATGGGGTAAACATTGGTTTTTCTTTTTTTGACCCACAAAACATAATATTTCCCAATTTCTCTTGTAATATTTTTAAAGAACTTAAAAAAACAAATTTTATTGAAGTGTTATTTTACAATTATTAGTTAGGGATAAAATTTAATAAATTGTAAATTTAAAATCCCCATGTTATTCTTATGGAGAATAAATAAACTGTTATAGTTTGCTTGTTTATGGATATATTTTGACGAAACTTTATTTATTTTACACTAAGTTATTAACATTTTACTAAAACACACTTTATTACCCTCCATGTAGCAGCAAACCTGGGTACTTAAAACCTAATGTTATTTAAATAGATTTAAGGGAAAATCAAATCAGGCAATTGGAAATTCGCTTAGTCTGCAGGTTTGCTGTGGCGGGGGTATTTTTCTTGTTGGTATACCTTACAGTGCTATACGCTTTCTTGTACATTCAATGATGCTTGTTTGCAGACCCTGCACAAAAGTGACTCCATGGTCTCTCTGTGCTACCGGACCTTGCTGCAGTACATCACTGATGACAATCTACCGGGTCTGCAGAACTTCCTCGAGAACAAACGAGTCGTAGTCGATGACAGAGATGAGGTATGTCACAAGTTTGTTTTGGAGTAGAGAGTTGTTATTTATTGTGATTGGCCACCAGAGATTATGTATTAATGTACATGCAGTACCACATTTTCCAATACAGCTCTGACTCATCCTTAAAGTGACTATCATCAACCATTGTAAAATCTTCCTGTTTGACTGATTTTTTACGTAATTAAAAGTAAATGTTTAAAGATTGATGTCAGAAACAATTGGAGAAAAGCTTATATTTAACTTCGAAGTCAAGCAATGAGATGGATTGTCAACAACCCTATTTAATTTGTCCATTCATTGTTAGGGAGGTGATCAAAACTGAAACATGTTAAATGAGTTAAGCCAAGTGTTGGCATATGCTAATAGTCTTATGATTGTGGCCAGGACAGAAAGATGGTGTAAAGAGGTTATCAAGAAATAGGTGGAACGACCCAAAAAATACCACTGAAAGTAAATTAAGGCTAAATAAAGTGTATGTGAATGACATACTTAAATATGAGAAAAAACTGTGGCTTTCCTAGAGGTCAAGTGTCTTGGAGCCTTGGTACATAAGACTAATTAATGAAACCGTACATATATGTTAGAATACTGGCAGTTAACAGTATATTTTGCTAATTTAGGGATTTAAAAAAGCCAGGTCTCTCAAAAGAACAAACAAGCTAAAAATATAAAACACTGGCTCAACCAGTAGAGACTTGTCGCTCCAAGTGTTGAAATCTGTTAATGGAAGATAAGGATGCCCAAGAGGCTTAAAAATAAGAATAAATACAAAGAATTGTTGGGCTTGTAAGGGAAGATGATAATACTTTCAGGATGTGGCAAAATTACAAAGTGGAAAATTGCACTTAAGGGTAAAATATTGGTTAGATTTATTAAAGCCCTAATACTCAGATGGTCATATATGTTATAACCAATGTTTGAGTGAATGTGGAGTAAATTACCAAGGAAATCATAAATGGGAGAATTTTCAGCTCAAAAAGAATGGGACGGCCTTGATTAATGTGGATAGAAAAAGTAGAGGAGGACCTGATGAAAATGAGAATCGGCTACTGGAAACAAAAAGCTACGGTTAGACAGCATTGGAGGAAGATTTAGGCTGTAGTGCCAGATGGTGAGGTGGAGTGTTCATTGATGGCATCTAGGCCCTACCGTTTTTTGTTTTATGTATTTTTTCAAGTGACTATATAGTAGATAGATTTTAAGGCCCTGAATAAAAATGTAATTATGGCTTTATAGAAGCTGTAACCCAGGACATCCATTTTAAGGATGAGTCTGAGACGCTATGAAAAATTTAGTTTGTAATTTTATATTGAGAAATATGTTGAAAAAGTTGTTAACAAGAAGCAGTTGTTATGATAAGTATTGAATGGTTGCTTGGTTCTAAAGTCATTCAAGGCCCGCTACATCAAGTGTGTTTCAGTTTCTCAGACCAATACCAATTCACAAAAGTCTCAATCTGTTGTTGACAATCAGGTGGTTAAGTTCTACTGTTGGATTAGATAAATTGGCCGTTGAGTCTAAACTCTACAGCTTTTAAATGCTGTTATTTAAACTCATAGAAGATAAAGATATAATTTCATTTCATAGTGAATCTATTCTTATAATTATGTAGAAATGTAAATGTAAAATAATATTTTTAGTAATATTTCAATTTTTTCAGAATGCAAGTACTGTACTACATTATGCAGCATCCAGGGGAAAGTTATCGTTTGTTCGAGAACTCATCAACCATGGAGCAGATGTCAATATTGAAGACAATGTTTGTACAATTTCTTAAGCTTAAAAAATAATTTAAGTAAATGTAAATAAGATGATGGTGCAGCAGCAACCAGTATTTATATCTGAAACGTCTAAACAGACTAATCAATTTTAAGATTAGATTTTGTTTTCCAATGTAAATGTTTTGGATAAAGAAAGGTTTAATTCTAAAATAAGAACCGTACTTAACCCTAAAGCAGGTTAAAGGTAAGCTTGCATAGTACAAGCATTGACTATACACAGAATAGACTTCCCATGTAATATAAAAATTTGAAACCAAGAAAACAGAAAAAGTTCAGGACCATCTCACCAGAGAGTACCAGTACTAGTGTATTGGGTTAAACCTATTTAGACATTCCATCCCCAAGTTAAATTTGTAGCCAGATTTTTTTTACTAAACTCTGTGAAATACACAAACTTTTTTACTAAGTCAAACTTAGGGAATGACTTATAATGAGTTATATAGCAACTGTTATGGCCCATCAACCTGGGCAGTGGTCAGTAACAAAAAATAAGGTATAAATTGGAATTTCAGACACTTGTGCATTCTGTGACTGGCTCACACAACTACATTATTTTATTTTTTTATAAAAAATTGGCTACAGCTGATAGCTGATGATAGCTGATTCATATAGATGGGAAATCTAATTGAATCAAATGAGAGTGGCCACACGAGGCGAAGTTAAGCCGCCTGGGCATATTGTCCGTGCCATGTTCAATTCAATTCAATTAAAACATTCTTTATTTCGTAATTGTACATGAAATTTGTACATAGAATTGCGTCAACAATATTTTAAGACTACATTAAAAACTAAACATACCAAAATTCCTCCAATGAATACAGCGGTCTTGAAATTAAATAATTCTTTAGCAATTTTTTAAACTTAATAATACTAATTTCTTTTTAAATATTATTAGGTAAATTATTATAAAATTTTCCTCCAGCATATGTTTTTTTTTTTTTTTCTTTTTTTTTTTTTTTTTTTTTGTAAAACTAGTTTGTGAATAGGCATTGATGTGTTTTGCCTGTTTCTAGTATTGTAAGAATGACTTTTCCCTAGTAAACCTAATTCATCAAAGTGAAGCCTACAATACATGATCACTTCATAAATGTATAAACTATAAACAGTCATGATGCCAAAATTTTTGAAATGCTCTTTGACAGTATCTCGCCATTTAAGATTACGAATTATTCTTAAAGCTCTTTTTTTGTAAAATCAAAATACAATCTAAATTACTTTTAGTCGTTGCTCCATACACGCAGATTCCGAAATTAATGTTTGCATGTATGTATGCATAGTAAAAAATTTTTAATGTTTCTAGATTGCATACTTTTGATAGCTTGTACAGAGCAAACAATCCAGATATAACCTTTTTAGCCACTTGATCAATGTGGTGATCCCAACTCAAATTACTATCATATCAATTGTTAAACCAAGAAACCTAGTATTTTCAATTTTGTTAATTTTGTGGTTATTTAGACCAACTCAAACCTGACTCAACCTGGCTCAGACTGATTCAAAGTCATTCATTTTATGATGTTTTGTACTAAACTGAATGAGACTGGTTTTGGTAGGGTTAAGCAATAATTGATGATAGCAAAAGTAATTATTAAGATCGATAGAGTTTTCCTGAATAGAAGATTCTAGTTCCTTTACTGATCCACTACAAGTTTTTAAGTTTGTATCATCTGCATACAGGCAGAGCTTATTTTGTTTGTTTCCAGACACCAATTTTGGCAAAACATTTATATATATTAAAAATAACAGTGGACCTAGAATTGAGCCTTGCGGTACACCGTGTTTTATGAATTTTATTTCTGATTTTCCTTAATTAAATGATTTTTATTTGTATTTGTTAGTTCAACATATTGTTTCCTATTACTTAAATAGCTATTAAACCATGACAAAACTGGGTCACGAATTTTGAATCCAGCCAATTTTTTAATCAATAGTGAGTGGTTGACACTGTCAAAGGCTTTTGTAATATCAATAAATATACCTACTACTTTATTTTTAGTTTCAAATGTATTAATGACTGATTCAACAAATTCAACAGCTGCTGTTACAGCAGAACGTCCTTTTATAAAACCGTGCTGCTCACCATCTAGTAAGTTATTTTCTTCAAAATGAGTAATCAATCTATTGTACATTGCTTTTTCGTAGATTTTAGAAAAAAACTGGTTCGATAAAGGTGGATAATTTGACATCTTCAATTCATCTCCTTTTTTGAATAGGGGTTTAATCTTTGAAATTTTTAATTTGTTTGGAAATATTCCACTGATAAAAGAGGAGTTAATTAGGTGCACTAATGGTTTAAGTAAATATTTTTTTGCATGTTTGATTATCGGCATTGGTGCAGCTCGTCAGCGCGAAGTTAAGCTGCGTTGGAGGGTATGACACCCGCAGTCTTATGAGAGTGGCCACATAATACGGATCATCCGCGCGGTTGGAGCTCATCTTCGGGCAATTGTAGTATATTTTAAGTTTGTGTTTTTTGCGTTTCGGTTAATAGTTGTAATGTTTGATACGGACAAGATAATATAACTCGTTAAATCTCTCATGAGTGTGTCTTTCTTAGTTATATGCGGTCGGAGCAGTACAAGTAGCTCGTCAAACGATTCTATTGACATACGATAATAAATAAAACTCCGAACTATGGTATCGCATGTGCTCGTAAAAGTTTTGAAACACAAATGGTTTATCCGTTATGAAGGGATGGACCCAATGATTGCTTTTAACCTTTGGTTCCAGCTCACCACACGTCTTTAAATGCACAAACTAACATAAGTGTTTCCTCCATGACTACTACGAGTAATTGGACCATGTTTTTATAATACAGTACGTAGGCTATGAAAACCTAACAGGAAGCATTTCATCCACTCCGTGTGGCCAGGACACCGACCGCGCGGAATATCTTCGCGCGAAGATAAGCCGTGCGGATAATCCGCCTCGTGTGGCCCCGGCCTACTTTGTATCCAATAGTTAATGGTTAAACATTAATTAAAATCAATGCAGTATAATAGCAAACAGCTGAATTATCACTTAACACAGAATATTGTCATTAGCTGGTAGACCATCTCAACAGATTGCACCACGTTTTTTGGCTTCAAATTCTTACATTACTTGGGAAGTGTATGGTACAAGTAGACAGCAGAATTTACTAACAAATATATTTATGTCCACTGTAGATAACTATATTGGTGAATTGGCAAATTGAGGGCTAGGTATTGGATATGATATAACATAACCTATTTTTTTCCGACCAACACAAACTTTGTTAAGGTACACTCAAAACTCAACATCCTAGAGTTGTCCAGAATGGGGTCATGTATTTCCATTTATACAAAGGATGTATAATGTCAATATATTTTATTGAGATTTAGAGCTCTTAATAATGAGGTGTTTATTTATTTATTTAGTTACATGTCAGCACATCATAATAACAGGAGGTATTGTCAATGGTTAAATCAAAGACTTAAAACTAGTAATTAACTCAAATAAAACTGTTTTTACACAGAAACAACCAAATCTTCCCTCAATACAAATAATATTTTTACATGACAAAAATTGAGCAAGAAGGAGCTGGTAGGTTTATTCCTTAGATAAAACATACTCCCTTAGTAGATTTATCATCCTTATGGAACAGCTGAAGCCAATTTTATTGTTAGGCCCCTTTCACACGAGGCCACTGGTGGCGGACACCGGTGTCCGCCACCAGTTACCGGCCGGGAAACTGCAGTGGATGGTACAGGCAACTTACAAGCCACTCTACTACAGCCACTGTACTGGTAGTTGTGAAAATGCTGTCGAACAATGAACATCTCCTTCTCGCGTTGATAATAAAGAAAATAAGGCAAAGACACAGGCGTACTACACTGAATAGCAGGTTACTTTTCAATTTCGCAAATTAGATCATCAGTATCCACTTTGTTTTCTATTATTTTGTTTATTCTCTTCTGTTGTTTTCCTTTGTCTTTTTCTTTTTCAGCAACGTCCTCTTTATTTTTCTTCTGATCACTCATTTTCACAAACAAACAATTCAACACAAAAACACTCAACAACTACAACCATAGTGCGTTTGTCTTTGCTGTCTGCACGTGAACTGATTCAAAATAGTAGCTGCGTGCTCATCCACGGTGGCGGCCACTGGTTGCTACGTGTGAAAGCTCCCATATAATTCAATGCCCCGCGACGAGTTGCCGCCACTGCAGTTGCCGGCGGTGGCCGACTAGCAGTTGCGCGAGAAGACACTGCTCGGCCACTGTGTAGTGGCGGGCAACTACAGTGGCTGTGTGTGAAAGGTCCCATTTAAAATAATGTTAAAGCTGTGGCGGGCAACCAGTGGCGGCCACCGGTGGCGGCCACCAGTGGCCGGCCGGGAAACTGCAGTGGATGATACAGGCAACTGACAAGCCACTCCACTTCAGCCACTGTACAATGGTAGCTGTGAAAATTCTGTCGAACAATGAACATCTCCTTCTTCTCGCGTTGATAATAAAAAAAATAAGGCATAGACACAGGCGTACTATACCGAATTGCCGGTTACTTTTCAATTTTGCAAATTAGATCTTCAGTATCCACTTTGTTTTCTACTATTTTGTTTATTCTCTTATTCTGTTGTTTTCCTTTGTCTTTTTCTTTTTCAGCAACGTCCTCTTTATTTTTCTTCTGATCACTCATTTTCACAAACAAACAATTCAACACGAAAACACTCAACAACTACCATAGTGCGTTTGTCTTTGCAGTCTGCACGTGAACTGATTCAAAATAGTAGCTGCGCGCTCATCCCCGGTGGCGGCCACTGGTTGCTACGTGTGAAAGCTCCCATTTAATTCAATGCCCCGCGACGAGTTGCCGCCGCTGCAGTTGCCGGCGGTTGCCGACTAGCAGTTGCGCGAGGAGACACTGCTCGGCCACTGTGTAGTGGCGGGCAACTACAGTGGCTGCGTGTGAAAGGTCTCATTTAAAATAATGTTAAAGCTGTGGCGGGCAACCAGTG